AAATAAAATAAATGACTTATATTTACAACAATGTGCAAACCAGTCTTTGGCAACAAAATCAACACTGCGATAAGCACCACCATAGGCACTAGGATAAGGATTAATCACCAAAGCCAACACCAGCATGAGTACCGTGGTCAAATTTTCAGCTAGCCATGATAAGCATCATATACACCAAGATTAACACCAAACTATGATTGCATCACTTCAACATATTTTTGGTTTTGAATATTTGCTTATACTGCTTGCTTTGCTTCAATTTTATAGAAGCACCAAACAAAATTACTTCATCACCTATAATCAATATTTTCTCTGCTTGATTTAATTTGAATCTCACTCAAGAAATGAGTTGTCACATGAAAGATTTCTACTGTCTTGTCAAAGCAATGAGCCAACATCACAAACTCCTGCTTGAATTTTTCAATCTTTATAGCATCTTTTATAATAATATAAAATGTAATAGGAAAAGAGAAAATAATAGAGAAGATAAATAAAATAATAAAAATAAAAAGCAATGCAATCCCCCAAATTATCTCTCTTGTTAAAAATATTATGTATAATCTTATAAAAATAAGTTCAGTGAGTGTTATATTAATATCGCCTCTAGATACCACTAATAAAATTGTAGCAAACAACATTCCAATTGTTATAATTTATAACATTATCAAAATGTATTTATTTGAATGAGAAAATTATGATTTTTTTCTTTGATCACCTCTGTGGATGTCTCGGTTCATGCAAATAGGATATGCAAATCAAGTCACTTCAGTTACACAACAAAAAACATTGAAAATAAACAAATAATAGATGTTAGGGTCTTTAGATTATTTAGAGAGGAATTTGGCTAACCATATTTTCAAGAAGCATGAAAAAAAAATGAAGAAAAAAAAGAAAGAAAGTTTGAATGAATACTTCAATAGAATTTTTGAATTGGTGAATCAAAGTCACAAGGAGTAAGAGAGTTGTTGATTAAAATCTTAATAATTTGACTGAATTTTGATAACTATCATAGAAGAAACTAAACTTGTAAAAAATGATTGTTCAAGAATTTATGGGCTCACTTGGTAGGTCTGAGCAAAGATTGTTTCATTGAGTTGAAAATACGTTTCAATCTAAACTTTGAATATCACATAAAGAGATGAACCAATAAATAATTTTACTCAATAATAAGATTTATTTTGAATTTAACTTTTAATTTTATTATTATTCAAGCAAAATCTTTTGAGTGTGGAATGATGTTACATATTAAGAGATATTATTCTGGTTGAATTAGTGTGACGTTTTTTTTTTTTTTCTTAACCATATTTTAAAAGATTACTATTTTCTATTAAGTCATGACAAAAGTAAGATATGAGATAAATATTTATATATTTATATGCACAAAGATGTGAGCTTTACAAGTTTACATTATTTTTATATCAGAAACAATTATTAAAATTGACAACAAAATTTCTTCTAACAAGTGGTTTAATAATACGTGACATACATCTTGATGCTTTCATTTACTTGTGTTGATATTTTAGTTGCAACATGCACAAGAAATAACAATAAGGAAGTGAGAATAATTATTATTTAAAATAGTACTATCTTATAATGATATATAAAATATATTTTTCTACTTTCTCAACATATTTCATTTATGAATATTTAAATTAAATTTGTAGTGGATAGATGAACCAAATTTTAATTATTCTCTCAATGATATTTACTCTTTCCAATCCCCAACGTCCAACTTCCATCTACAATATCATCAAATTTTCATAAATAGATATTATTATTTAAAAACAATCAAATAATATAAATATAAATTAATAAATAGGACTAATGCATAACGAAAGATAAGATAAAATAAACAAGCATAAAGCAGTGGTCGATATGTAATTGTAGATAAATAAATTAGAACTAGATACAGAGTCGAAGATAAATAAACAAATATAATACAGTGTCGATAAGTAGTTGAAAATAAATAAGTAATAAAATAAATAGAATGAACACCTCACTCCACAACTATAATTAAAATAAAATAGATAAAATGATAATATTCTCCTCCCCTACCTTAGCGATTGAAGATGATATACCAAAATTTTACTTTATATATTTTCTTTTTCTTTTTCTTTCTCCCTCCCTGTCTCTCTTTCTCTTTATTCTTTCTCCTTAATTTTTTTTATCTTCCTACTTAACCCTCCCATCCTATTTTTAGTCATAAATTTTCTCTCTATTCTTTTTCTTTCCTTCATTTAAAGTTTGAAATCTTATATATTCTTTGATTTTTTTTTTATTATTTCATATCATTAATTAAAACTTATCTCTTAACATACTATTCTTATCTTCGTCCATTTTTATTAATATATATATATATATATATATACTAAAAATTAAAATAATAATAATTATTTTAATAAATATATTTTTTTTATAATAACTTAACAATATATATATATATATATATATATATTATTTATTTATTTTTACATAAGTATTTTATTTAAAAATTATTTAAATTACCCAAAATATTATTTAATAAATTATATTTGAAAAAAAAATTACATAATCAATTTGAGATGTTACAATTTGTATTTTTTTAATTAAAAAAAATATCAATATAATAACTTGTATACATGTGTTTAATACTTACAAAATAAATAATGAAAACTATAAATGTTATTCAAAAAGTAAAACCATATAATAAATTCAAAATCTTTATGACAATTTAGTATAGCAAAATTTTCCTCTTATAAATCTCATCTAATTCTACTTAATTCGTAAATAACCCTTAATATAAATAAAAGCTTGATAAAAATAAGTAGATTCAAATAGTATATAATAAGAATGTTAAACTCCATTACAAATTAAGTAGTAAAATTCTTAAATATTCACTATTTATTTTTCTAAAAAATTACAAGACATAATTATATATGTTAATTGAATGATATGGTAGTCATCGTTTTTAGTCATTATTTTCAATGATGGATAATTTATATAAATATCATAATTATAAATACTATTATAAAAAATTTAATATAGTTTTATCTATTTCAATTTAAGTAAATGAATTTCATATTTTCATTAAATTAATTATACGTTTAAAATTAATCATTCATTTGAACTTTTAGTCCATTAGAGTGTTAATAAGTTATTTCAAATTTGACCACATGTGTAATAATTAGCGTGATAATAAATAATTTAATATGAAATTAAAAAATTAACAATTTATAATTAAGTAAGCTTAAGGTTAGTTTTAATTAATTGTTTATTTCAAATTTTGATTGATAAATAACAAGATAATTTCTTTTTTTAAAAAGTCAAAAAATATGAGTGAGGGACTCTCACTTCATTCAACCAAAAATATTATAAGACTTTTTTTTTTAATTGTTGTCACATGATAGACCTGGGGATTTATTTTAATTATGGGAGTGTAAGAGGAAATTATGAGGTGCAGAAAGGAACAGGACCTCAACATTGTTTAAAATAAAAATTAAAACTAATTAAAACTGTTTCGTATTTTTATTAAAAATATTAAAAAAGATATAGTGCGTTCCCGCCAAAATCAATTGGCGCCCTTTCTCTTCACCACTGCTGTATAAGAAAATCGCAGAATAGGTTTTCAATGTTACATATACTCTCTCACTTTCGCGAGCTCGTGCCCTAATTCGGATCTGTGACTTCTCTTCTTCCCTCTCCAAAACGCGGCGTTTCATCTAACTTCAGGTGAGTGTTTGTTCATGTATCCCACCTTCGTTTGCAAAACCATGTTATTCTCTTTCAGATCTGAAAATTCCGAATCTGTTTTTTATATATATTTTTGATTTGTTTCGATTTGTCACCAATTTGTTTTAAGCTAGTCGCTTTATGACCCCAATATGTTTTGTTGTATATTCCCCCTGTGGCTGTTTTTAAGGTCAATTTTCTGGGTTCTGGGAGATTCTGCAGTTTTTGTCTTCTGTTCTAGCTTTTTGTGTTTTTTACTCTGTTGTGAATTTTATTATGTAAAAGAGGATCTTGAAGCTGGTGATGAATCCATTCTATTAGGGTTAATTTAGCCGTCCAAAATCAATGACCTTTAGGGTTCATTTCCGAAGATTAGTGTGAATTCGATGGTATGATTTTTGGATTTTTATGTTATGGGTATTCTTTGATTTGTTTTTAGAGTTTTTTCTTCTTCTTTTTTTTGTTCTCTATGATCTCGCTTCGATTTGAGGACCATTCCGTTTTTTTTTCCCGCTATATGGGGTTTTTGCTTGCTTGGTGGTCCTGATTAGTGCAGATTTAGTTATTGGCTTCAGTGTTTGCTCACTGCGGGTTTAGTTTATGTCACGATGATAGCATTTTCAGTAATTATGTTGCTTGAATGATGTAGGTTGCAGCAAGTGCTTTGGATCTTTACCAGACAGGAAAAAGAAAATATTGATATATTGAAACGTGTAATTCAGGTATTTAAATTCAACATTTTCTTGGAATTATATAAGTTTTGTGCCCTGTGTAAATCTCAGGAGAGGTTCTTAAATTTGATCCGGTCACAGTCACGATCACGACAAATGCAGCCAATAAGGCAGCAACTGCGGTCGTGAATGCAATTACCTTTGATATCGTGGTTGAAATTGCAATATTTTAAAACTTGAAAGGACTTCGGCTCTATTTGTTTTACATTTTGGAAGAATTGAGGTCAAAGGATTTTGTTTATGCTTGAAAATGATATTATAGAAGTGAATTTATATTATTAGTTTATATTTTTGGGGGGGGGGGGGTGGAGCTAAAGTAGATTGATTCACTTATGAAGTTTAAATCAGTTCTTTTAAAGGGAAAAACTTTTCTCTTCAGAATTGCATTTGAAAATCAAAATTTAGTTGTAATTTTGCATGTACTTCCAGTGGGTTGCCTTAAATCGTAGTTTTAAATGTTTGTTTTTACTGTTTCCAGTGGTTTGTGATTCTCGATATTTTCGGGGGGGAAAATTGGACTGTGCAAAGATTGTGATTTGAGCAGGGCAATTGAGCATCCATATGGAGCTACGGGGTTGTGGTCATCTTCATTTCATTCAGGCTATTAAAGGTGGTTTAGTTACAAAAGTCCCTAATGTTGCTCGTGGACAACCGAAACTTAAATTTAAAAATATGACAGACGTATATGATGATGGATTATTGTCTCATAATGATGATGGACTGGCTGAAAGGTCATGCTTTGATGAATTTGAGGAAAACAATGTGAAAACCAATCCTGATGCTTCAGTATGTAATGGCAATGATGCTGATCATCCGATAGTCAATAATTTGGATGACGACGACTTTGACAATCTCACCCTAAGCCAAATTATAGATAGTTGCAAAACAAGGAAGAGAAAACACTCACAATCTCTCGACTCTTCTAGAAGAAACATAAAAATTGAAGATTCATCATTCCCGGAGGACTACAAAGAGGAGCTAATGGCAGTTGATGATGACTCTGATTTCATGGAGACTCTCAGTAGCTGGAAATCTAAACTATCAAATAATGTGAAGGCAAAGAAGCAAAAATGCTTCAAAGAACCAACCTCTAGTTATACCCAAGAGGTTATGATGCTAGTTGTCAAATCCGAAGAGATCGTAGACTATCAGGAGTTCCCACCCACTAATGAAGAGGTCCAAAACGGTCAAGTGTTACCACCCTCTAGTGAAGAGATCCTGGACTGTGAAGAGTTCTCTCTATCCAACGAAGAGATCCAAGGATGTCAAGAGTTCTCACCCTCCTGTGAAGAGATCGAAGGCAGTCAGGAGTTCCCGCCCTCCAGTGAAGAGATTGAAAGCAATAAAGAGATCATATCCTTTACTGGAGATTCAGCTGCCCTTGTCGAAGTGACATATGATGTTCCTGTAACTGACTGTTTCTGCGGGCCAGATGACTATTCCAGTACAGAAGTACAAGAAGAGATAATCTATAAATGGAATTTGGAGAGTGAATTGAAAAATGAGTGGCAAAAGTGTGTTAGTTTTCTTCCATTACGAATGGTGAGGCCCTTCAATATGGATATTGTGATAAATAATTCTCAACTAAGCAATGACCAGTCTCCAGACTTGCCTGCAATAAAATTTGAGAGTGAGGAGTGTATCGTCCATCCATATCTCCATTACAACGCCCCTCAAGTAATGTCTATGGTTGAAGATCATAACTCTGATATTCATGACAGTCAACTGGATGGTGACACTGACGCTGCAGTCTCCCTACCTAATGCGGGTACTCATAAAGACATTGACTGCCTCGGTATAGAGTTTAAAGATGATAATACTCTCCTTGGTGACTGCAGTAATGATGAATTTACAACTGGTGCTGAGGATCAGGTAGAAGTAGAATCTAACCGTACAATTGAACATGGCCTTGATCTTGATGGATGTCTGGTTCGTTGTTCAGATGATCCACCTGAATATGAGGAAAAGCAATCAGTTGCTTCTGTAAACAATGAATGTAATGGTAGTTCAAAGATGAATGATCCTGAAAGATTGTTATCAACAAGAAAGGTACAAATATTATCATAAAGTTTATATTTTACTTGATTTATATTGCTTCCTCTCAGTTGGTTTCTCATCAGGAAATTTCACCATCTTCTCAGGAAAAGCTCTGTAAAGCTGTGGAGTCTATTGAATTGAATCATAAAAACAAATTGAGTATGTGATCTAACTATGCCATCTTGGTCTCATTTTGCTGTGATCTTGATCCATGAACAATTACATGTTTGAATCTTTCCAACTTTTTTTTTTTTCAAACTATAATCAACAACAATCATGGAAATAAATATGGATTCTGAGAAATTAGTGATTTTTTTATAAGAGATAAAAATTTGGTTGAATAGGTATAGGCTATATTGAAACTATAATAATATGGGAATTTTAACCATGATATGGTTGGTTCGACAGTCGTACTAATGATTGAAATGAAACGAGCAATATTTCCAACTTTGATCCACTATCTTGAGAGTTAAAACCTTTAAAGAACTTAATGAGTGAAAATAGCTTTTATAGTACTCTAATTTCTTTCTATCAATTGCCAAATGTAGCTTGTTAATTTCTGTTTTGATTTGTCATTTCTCCTTGTCACACACACACACACTATATATATATATATATATATATATATATCGTTCCTTATAAGTACTCTGACCTTTTACCTCATTTTAATTCGACTTATATTGGGTTATAATGATCGCAGGATTCAAGGGAAAAACATACTTTTCTGAGCAGACTGATAAGATGAATGGTACAGCTGAAGGGTGTGATGATATCACAGGCGCTCGATTTACTGATATCCCTAACAAAATTAGCATTATTTCAAGGACTAAAAGAGTTTCCCATCCTAAAGGAATTTCCAAGATTCCTCATTCTTCACGCCAAGCCACCCGCCTAGGGTGCAGTTCTGTACAGAGCTGCTCAAAGAGTGCAATTGCATTTACACAGCAGCAAATGCATGATGCAGAATGCCTTGCCATGAAACTCACAAAGGAATTGAAGTCAATGAAGGACATTGTGGATGACATGTTACGGTCTGAATTCTGTCTAAATACGTCTTTGAGACATAAAGTAAATGAGGTATGATAACCACAAACCTGTTCATAACTTTCTGTAGTAGAAATGGTGATAATTTGACTGAAGCCTGCTAGACTCAGCAAATTTGAAAATAATTAAGTGTTGAAGATAGAAATAATTATATTGAAAAGTGACGTGGCAACGAGATAACTAAGGCTATTTAAAACTTTAAACAACGATAACCTTTATCCAATTTTGATCGCTGTATTATTTTATTTAGACTTCATTCTGTAATTCGAGTTATCCATTTATGACAATAAACATATTCTTATCCTCGATAAATACTTGCAATCTAATGCCACCCCTTCAAGTTTTTGGTTCATTGTGTCTATTAGTGGAGTTCGTGTTTAAAACTTCCAAATGCATAGTGTTCCTGAGTTCTTGTAATTTCAAAATTTAGTGGAGTTGTGCATTTAAATTGGTAAATTTGGTGATTAGTTAATAGTTATTTATTATTGGAATTAATTTCAGGCAAGAATGGCTGTTAAGAATGCCACAAGAGCTGAAGAAGCTGCAAAACGATGCCTGGCCTTCATGTCAAGGGATTGCAGCCGTTTCTGTAAAATAATGGTTTGTTCATCTCCTATATCACTCTTGAAGCCATTAATTCTTAGTTTTTTTTATGATTTTATGTTTACTCTTTTCTGTATGGCTAATTACTGCTCTTGATAAACTTCAGAAATTATCTGATGATGGTTCACCTCCTCAAGATGTAGTGCGTAAAGAGAGGAAAAAAATAGCCTTTGCCGATGAAGCAGGTGGAAGGCTGTGCCAGGTTATGTTCTATGAGGATAATGGGATATCTTTGTCAGAGTCTAATTGAAGAGATGGTTGATCTAATAACATGCCATTTTCTGTAAATTCTTAATTTTCAGTGCCCCTTTCACTGTATTAGTGTTCTAGAAATGTCTTATATTTTTACTGTAGTTGGTTCCTTCCTATGTCAGAAGTTAATTTCAATTGATATCGCGTGAAGCCGAGGGTTTAGTCAAATTTTAAACCAGGGATTTATGCTTGAATCTGCGGAATTTGAGTGAACATACTGTAGATCCAGAACTTGTAAGTGTAAAATATTTTTAGTTCATAATTTACATAGTAAAATGACTATGCAAAAATGTTTTTTTTTTTTATCTATGCTAATAAATAAAGGAATGCCTATTTTTTAATTTTGGTGTACGTAGTTTTTATACAATTTTATCTTTGCTCAACATTTTGATAATTGTGTTATTTTCATTTTGATATAAGTCAAGAATTAAAGAAATAAGGGATGTTTCTTGAAAGTGTTGATTAAGTTTTTTTTTCATATTATATATTCAATTTCAAAATGAAAAAAAAAAAAGTTTCATGACCAATGCTATTGTGTAATTTTTTTATTTTATTAAAGGTTAGCATGAGAATTATCTTAATAGAACATAAATTCCATCTTATATATAATCATATAAAACTATAAACTAACTATAACCACTTAGCTCATTAATTCTAGCATTAGGCCACCGTTTTGTGATCCGGATAAAGCCATACCTATTCTGCACCAAACACCACAACCATCAACACTATCCATAGAACCCCAATGCCAGACTGTATTGCATCCATACAAACAAATACCCACCATGTGTGTTGTCGTCCACACAACACTGCAAACCCAAGCCCCACCAACCAAACTGCCCACAACGCCGCTTCCAAAACCCCTATGCCCACCACACACCACCGCAAACAACACAACATTCATGTCCACCACCACCATACATGATTAACACCACGCATGTAAAAACATACCCCAATAAGCTTGGATGTTAGTCATTATTTCCAAGAGATCTTGTCATAACAAAAGTTATTGAGCTTGTATATTACAGAAGTGGAAGTTGGATTCATTTAATAAGCTTGGAAGGTTAATAGGACTGTTCAACTTCATCACAATTCTAAATTAAATTGATTTTATCATTATCAATTTATTTTCCCATTCTTGTGAAAGCATGTACGGAGACAAAAATTTCCTTTTCCAAATTGCATAGTCCTGAAATCATTCTTCTGTATTGTCTATTCCTATATAAAATTAATTAACAATATATAAAATAGTATTTAAATGAATTGGAACGAATCGCAATCCAAACAATCCACACACTCACGTGATGGGTGCAAGAAGCAATGGCCTTTCACCCAACACTCAAACAAAACTGACAATTTTGTTGCTCCATTTTTTATATTTGGGGCTTTTCATCTTCCACTGTTGCAGGCTTTTCGGCTTGTTTATGCTCTTCTGTCTTCACAAACTCAGAAATGTAGTTTACCTTCTCTACAAACATTATTACACCAATCTTTCATCTTCCAACGTTCTTTCTTCTCTATTGTTTCTCTGTTGTTTCATTCTCATCACTCTCTTTACCCTTGGCACCTTCCTATACGATATATATATATTGTAATATACTGTAATTAAAAGAAAAGCAAAAAGAAGAAGAGAGAGAAAATTTGGTTTCTTCTTCGTACAAACATATCCCCTATCTCCATAACTCAGCTCTACCTTCTCTCCTACAGATCAAGACTTTCTTCTTCCCCGATCAAGAATCTGAGACCGCCGTTGTGCTCACGGCGGAGAATAGCAGAAGACCCACCAATTAGAATTTCGTTCCAGTAAGTTTGAATTGTAGGGTTTTGCTAGTTAAAATTTGGGGTTTTGAGAATTTAAGGAATTAATTGTGGAATTAAATGTTTCCTCTTACTCTATCACTCCCCAATTTCATGTTTTCGGGTTTAATTTTGTTTATTACTTCAATTTCGTTTTAGGGTTTTTCAAATTGGGGGAGAACGGTACAAATTAGGTGTTTTGGCATTCCTAAGGTTTTATTGGAATTAGGTTGATGTGTAACATCACCCTCATGTAAGGGAGGCTTCTTTAATTTTTATTGGTTGTATTGTATTGATGAAAAGTTTAATAAAGTGAATGACGAGTATGTTTGTGATATATATACGTGCTATATGTGATATGAGAGTATGATTGTGATATATATACGTGCTATATGTGATATGAGAGTATGTTTGTAATATATATACGTGTTATATGTGATATGAGAGTATGATTGTGGTATATATATATATATATATATATATATATATATATATATATATATATATATATATATATATATATATATACGTGCTATATGTGATATGAGAAGATGCTTGTGACATATATACGTGTTATATGTGATATGAGAGTATGCTTGTGATATATATACATGATATATGTATATGAAAGTATGCTTGTGATATATATACGTGCTATATGTGATATGATATTGTGAGCATTGTGGAAATCTTGTAGTGTAAATTGTTTTGAAATAGATATCTTTGTATCATTGAATTTCTAAATTGTATGGTTGGTTTGTGTGGTTTGAAGGAGAAATGATGTACCGTTTTAAGTGAATTATGATTGCATAGTAGTTGAGAATTTAAATGTTGGACTGGACATTTTGAACTGCATGATGTTGGTTTGATTCTAGAAACCCTGAGTAGAATAGTGTGTATGAAATAGTTGTTAAATGATAGATTTGATGTACTGTATAGAATAATGTGTATGGAATTATGGATAGGCGTAATAGGGTATCCAGACTTCCAAGATGTTCCTAGTCATATAGACGAAGACATATGTGGTGGGAAGTCGATGGAGACACAACATAGTGTCAATCCTATGCATGTGTTGCTCTGATGAGAGGTTGGAAAAAAAATGATATTATAGGCCTGGGGCCATGAAATTTTAAGGGTCTGGGACCCCAAATATTCTTCATCAGGTGTCTACCTTACTGGTCTGAATTCCATATAGTTTTCCGGAAAGCGTCAGTCTTGTTGTGTGTTGTGATTGTAAAATGCTAGACTCTCCGGTGAGTCTAGTTTTAGGATGTTTGTGAATTAATAAGTGTTGTTTGCAATGTTACAATGTTCTACATATTTAATCAAATGGTAGCTTACCCTTGCTTTTGTTGCGTGCTTGATCTTTTGGGATCTTGCTATGATCGTGTTATACACGTGAGCAGATTCCAAATCTTCTACAAGTGGTAGTAAGACCCAGTGATTTGAGAAATGAAGTAGAGACCTCCTAAATTGAAAGAATTATTTTGTATTGTGTAATTAGGTGTAAAACATTTGTGTAATTAGGACTTTTGATGTGTGATGTTTTCTTTTCTTTTCTTCTTTTCAACTATTCTGGATATATAACCCGAACTATTATACCTCTCTTAGGTGAAAAAGTTATTTTCTTCCTTCATTTATTGAAAAAAATTTTAAGTAGAATTTACTGGGTTGTTACAAATTGGTATCGAGCGGTAATTTCTAGGAAACCTTAGGGTTATGGACCTGCTATGCTAACTGCGTGTAGACTTAAAATAATTATAGTATATTATAGAATTATAATGTTTGATTTCTTCTTATGTCTAGGATGGCTCCTAGACCACCTCCCCAGCCTCAGCCTCAGCCCCAGTCCGAGGTGAGTCAAATATTAAGAGCCATTGAAGTAATGGCCGCTACCATGCAACAACAAGGAGTAGTAATGGCACAGCAGCACCAGGCTGCTATGCAAGAATTGCAAGCATCAAGGGAGGCCACTGCAGCGGCAGCAGCTGCAGTAGCAGCAATAACTTCTAACCCCACTCCAGCTTCCTCCTCCAGTCAGCCACAAGGGCAAGCAGTATTGGCTGGTTTTTTTGAAGCACGAGCCGCCTAAATTTTCAGGAAATTCTACCCCAGATCAGGCAGATATGTGGATGGAAGGGATAGAGAAGATTTTTTATGTTATGGAGTGCCCTGAGGATAAGAATGTTACTTTTGCTGTATATCTATTAGCAGGGGAGGCTGAATTTTGGTAGAAAGGAACCAAGAGGCTGATGATTGCCAGAGACGAAGCTATCAGTTGGGAAAGCTTCAGAGAGAAGTTCATGGGAAAGTATTTCCCACGCAGTGCACGATTTGCTAAGGAGGCGAAATTTCTGAAGCTAGAGCAGGGAGATCTATCAGTGCATGAGTATGCTACCAGATTTGAGCACCTGGCCAGATACTATTCTCAATCGAGCACTGAGGCATGGCTATGCAGCAAATTTGAGGAGGTTCTGAGACAGGAACTAAAGGAGTTTGTGGTGTCGATGTTTGTTGCTGATTTTCCTGTTCTGGTTGAGAGGGCTAAGACTACGAGAGACCGGTGGCGAGTAGAGTCAAGTCAGCTAGTGCCATCGGTATCTGGACCCTCGAAGTAGCGAGTGGAGTCTTCTAGCAGAGTCGGGTCCCATCCCTGCAGTAGGAGGCCGGAAAGAAGGACCCCGTATACTCGCCCTTTTCCCAGGAGGGAATTTGCTCCTACTTCTCTCCGGTCAGTGGGGGCATCCGAGCTTAGAGGGAGGAGCTCACCTTCCTTCCATCATCGCAGATCCGAGCTCCTATTAGATGCTACAGGTGCCAGAAGTTTGGGCATTTTTCCAGAGACTGTAGAGAGGATTTGTCTGTAACTCCATCTGGGAGTCAGCCGACCGGGGGTTGAGAACGGAGATCGACCGAGAGCAGCCGGCGAGGTCTTCACCATCAAGGGAGCGAAGCAGAGAAGTCCAGTGATCTAGTCCAAGGTTCGTGTTTCCTCTTTGGTCACGGACCGAAAGTTTTGTATGATTCTCGGAGCGACACACTCCTTTGTGTCACTTGATTGTATTGAGAGACTAGGTTTGTCCGTTAGTGGACCTTACCTGTGAGTTGTTCGTGTCTACTCCAAAGAATCGATCTCGGTGGTTGCATCCAAAGCTTGTTGTGGATGCCCCTTAGTGGTAGAAGGTCGCAGATTCAAAGCGA